TTATAGAAAGTATGCAACATTATGGGATGAAATGAGAGAAGATATTTAGATCACAACTGGGGAGGGGGGGAAGAAGGAAGCAGAGTTTCAAAAGAGACAAGTGTACAGCTGAGCTTTTCCTTAATCATTTCTTCTCACTATAAAAATCTAAGATCATTGGTCCATGATACAGATTAAAAAAAAAAACCCACCACACATTGACAGCCAAGATCTCACTGCATGAAACAAAAGCTAGGGTCTGGAAATTTTAATCACTAGATTTCCCCCCCCCCCTTTGTACTTCCAAAAAAGCAACAGAACATCGCTATACAGTCTTGTAATAAAAAAAATATTTGTTTGGTTTTGATGAACTTTAGTTTGTTGATCCTGCTTCCTTACTAATAATATCCCATGTAACAATCAGATGCAGCTCTCACATAAATGAGTAGTAGTTTTATCACTGTTTCCAAATGGAAGCAGACCCACAGATACTGCCAAGGAATATTTTAATGGAAATTTTTATATTTACATCTAAGGGGGGAATTTTAAGTCTGCCAAATATTTAACTGGACATCTTGCACCACACTGTGGTACAAAATTATATAAGGAGCTATGCTTATAGGATGTGGTGGGCTCTGCTAAAAGAGAGTATATTCAAATCACTCGTTCTATAGAGTGAAGTATTTAAATTAGTTTGGTTCAAATAGATTGAATCTAGTTACAGCTCCCCTGCCTCCACCCCCCCCAGCAATTTTTTTTTTTGAGGGGGGGAAAAAAAATCAGTTTGCAAAATCTTTAAATAGTGAACTAAACTCTCCCCCAGCAATTTTTTTTTTGAGGGGGGAAAAAAAATCAGTTTGCAAAATCTTTAAATAGTGAACTAAACTCTCCCCCTTTCTAAGGAACCTCCACAATTGCCCTTTGTTTTGGTTGTGACCAATTTTTTGCCAAAAATCCCTAGCAGCTCATTCCATCTGCACAATGTGCTACAGGAAAAAAAAATAATAATAATTAAACTTTGATCCTGTGATATAAAATAAATTGCTTTTCCTCAATGATCACAGCTGTCCTTCAAAGCTAGAGATAAAAGCAATGATATTACTCAGGTGATTGCTTCTTAACGGTTGCCATTATCAAAGGTAAGAAGGAAAATTCCTAAATGGCAAGAATATGAAAAGGCAACGCTTTAAGCCACATTTTAAACAATGCTGGATTTTCTGCCAAGTGACCTATTCAGAACTCACAACAGCATGCACATATGAAGATGAAGCATTTTGTTCTCAAAACTAATACGCAAAATATACTAAAACTATTGATTGTCACACATTTATATTACGTGGCAAGTCTAAATTGAGATTTGTAATTTCACAACATTGTAACCATCTAGGATTGTTCTGATCTATTACTTTTATAATCTATTTTTTTCCTTTTGCTCCCCTCCCAAAATATAGGCAGACATTTTAATGTGATAAGAAAATTACAAACCATACTATACTCCTCTGTAACAAAATGTATATCACAATAATACATTCAAGAAACATTAAAAAAACCACCCGACCAAGGTTTGACCCAAAAACAGTAACGTTAGCCCTGAGATAGGTCATGATGTAAGAACTTCATGTTTCATTAACAATATTTCCTATGATTTTTTTTTCCCTTCCGAAACCTTGACCACAAATGCTGGGGGGGAGGGGAAGAGAGCAGGAACAAGAGAGAGAGAGAGAGAGAGAGAGAGAGAGAAGGGAGGAGAGGGGGGAAGACGACCGGAGAGCAGGAACAAGAGAGAAGGGAGGAGAGGGGGGAAGACGACCCAATGGTAAGTTTGTCTTCTTTCTGTTAAAGCTGAAAACTCTATCATGAGAGCAAGATGACTGCCCAGCTAATCAACTGTGTGTGTGTCAGTGTCAAATATTCCAGTGTTCCATTGTATATCTGCAAAATTCCTGAGTTAAGGTTTAAGATGTTATTTTTTCCCCTTCCTTGTTTTTTTGACAGATGACAAGTTTTCAACAGAACAATTCTCTGGAGAGCTTGTCACAAAATTTTCCAACAAGAGGGGCAAAATTTTTTGCAATACTTGTCTCACACACACACACAAAAATATCCTGCTTTCTTTGACCTGTTCTAATGCTCCACGTAAAACAGGTTCAAACTGCTGCTAACTGCAAACATGCATTCTCCTTGAAAGAAGAGTTGCTTAACTCTGTGGTGGTCTTCACCAAAGACTGAACAAAATCAGCTCAGAAAATGTTATTCAAGATCAGGAGCTGGAATGAACTTGCATCTGCTTTTGGGGCAATCCAACCGTCACCTTATAAACTCTGACATGTCTCCTCATGCTTGGCCTCCATTAGCATATACTGCTGGGAGGAGAATGGCAAGAGGAAGTGTAATTCTGTCACCAAGGCTTCTGAAGTCTCCAGCAGATGACCAGCGTTAGATCTCACAACAACAGGGGAGCCCCCCTATGTCCCACCCTGACTATTCTTGCCCACCAAGCCTTTGTCAAACTTTTAAGATCTTAATCAATCAACTCTGACCTCAGGATCACAGGAGAAAGATGGATGAGGAAATGGGTGACCTCTGACCTACTCTTGTATTTGTCCTGCCACATTCAACCCATTGAAAAACAATTGGGGTGGAACCTGCTCCTGAGGTTCCAGACATAGGCTAGTGTCCTTTTATAGGCTTTTGCAGACTTAAGATCTTTCGTCAGTCCTCACCAGCCCCTCAAGATCCATGGGAAGCATTCCCACCTCTTAACCCTCCCCAAACAAAACCTGCAAGAGCAGCAAAATTGCTAAACTCTAAAATTAACTGGACTATGGAAATGGTAAGTGGGGAACATCTCCAGCAATGTCAGTGGCCTTAACCTCAGTAGAAAGCAACAGAGAGTCAGTTGTGAACTTTATTGAAAATTCCATGAATCAGAGGACTTCCTGGTAAACTACTCTTGAGTTGGGAATGGCAGTGCCAAAAGGGAAACCACAAATAGCCAGTGATGAAATGGCTTTAACTATTTCAAATTATTTGATGGCTTGCATCCTCGGAAAAGAGCTTCAACAGGCTAGCTTTACACACAAGTTTCTTTCTCCTTTTTATACATGACCACATCAGATTTCTCTTTAACTGAGGAAATGGAGGTTTTCTGGGTTCAACTCCCATGGGTCCAGTAGAGAGTTTATATGGAATCTGGCTGAAGACACTAATTCCCAATATCTATTCCAAAACTGCCCCACCATCTGTCCTGGCCACCAGTAAAACGCCTCCAAGTGACTTCCCAGGAGCAACACAGCATTTTTCATGCAATTAGCTCACCAAATCTGAGCCAACAGCTAAAATTTATTATAGATAATAATATAGCTAGATATTATCTGTATAGATGATACAGATATAGATCATCAGTCGTCAATGTGACCCAATACTGACCCAGTAGCCCTTGAAGAGAACTCAAAATAATCTCCATGAACTAAACTAAGATGCCTTTTTCCATTCACCTCCTCCCACAAATTGAGTTGTAAAAATGTCAAGGAGCCCTGCCTACAAGTTATTGGGCCATTTCAAAATAATAATTAAACCTCTCCAGCCACTGATGCTCTGCTATAGTTCCCAGTCACCTCAACAGCCAGGTTCGTGTGTTTAGTGACATGCAAAGATTTCCAAGCTTCTGTCTCAACATACCACGAGACAGAGTAATTTACTGTAAATAGAGCACCTTACCATTGTGCAGTTTATATTTCAATTCTCTCCCCAGCCCATTGTACTTGATAAGCATATCTTATGTTTTTCCTCCAAATGAAAGTACTCCAAACGAAGGCAGAGGTTTGTGCTTAGCATTGCTTTCCTGCCAACCGTTAATTCCAATGCATAACAATGAACTTCACATTGGCTGTAAATCATCATTTAAAAGAATTTCAGTATGACACTGAAAGAAAAAATAGCTCTTCTCTTACAGTGGTCTAGCAAACAAAACAAAACAAAAAAAAAAAAAAACACACTTAAGTTGCTTGTCTGGTCTAGCAAACAAAAAAAAACACACTTAAGTTGCTTGTTTCTCAGTCAAACCAAAATATAAAATTTACCCTAGGAAAAATGCCCACGTACCAAAACAGAAGATTGATGATTTTGATCATAATGGACAAACAGAGAATAAGGCAACTTAATTCAGCACCTTGCTGGATTGGGCTCATTCATCTGCACAAGAAGCTATTAAGGCGGATCTTTATTTATGCTCACAAGTAAGAGTTTAGAAGATCAGGCCCAAGATTTCTAATAGTTTACTTATAAAATAATAGCAAAATCTTAGGGGAAAATGTAAGTCTCTTTGCAGATAATCTGCCTTTTATATGAACTTTAATCCCTAATTCTGCAGGGCCTATGATGGGGGGAGGCTTTTAGCATTTCTAAGAGTATCCTAGCACCTCCATTGTAAGGATCACAATAGAGACCCTCTGAGAAATGAAAATATTTAACAAAGGCAGCAGTATCAAACATCAAAGGGTCATTTAACACAAAAATTTGCAACAAGTGAAACACCAAAGACATACACTTCCAGAGGAGCTAACGTTATCAAAATAAAACCCAAGTTTCTGTGACGGTTTCTTTTCTTGGTTTAATAGGAAAGTTCTCTACTGCAGCCCGAAAAAGAAAAGGAATATTTGTATCTTACTGTTTCCGCTGCTTAACAAACTTAGCTTGTGAAAGAGAGATCTTGTATCTTTAAATGATGGTGATTTGAGTATTACTTTTTGCACCCAATTTTGGTAGCTATACCAAGCTAATTCATATCTAAGTGCCTGCTAGCAAATGTGTTTTGCTTTCTGCTTATTGTGATCATTTGTTTTGTTAGTATTATAAACTTAGCCTTGCCACCTGGAGCTACTGCACTCTCCCATTAGACACCTCTGTCCCACTGCATCCCACAGGGGCTGCTAATTACTGGCTTTACTCCATTTACTTTAACCGCTGATTCAATTACCCACGCTGAGCCCTTATAAAGAGTGCAATATTACTGGTCCTACCTTGGCATTCTCCATTGTGCTCATCATAGCCAGCATTGCACAGACAGTTGCCAATGGGTACCAGCCATTCACCATCTGCCCCACAGTACATTTTTGGCACATCCTTCTCTTCTGAGTTGTTCACACAGGAGCCACGAACTTCCACTAGAGAGGACGTATCAGCTCCAGTGATGGTATCTGGAAACTGAGCCAGGTTGCGGACTGTCAATGGGCACTTTTTGTAGAAAACACGGACAGAAACCAAGGCGATACAGGCACCTACATCCTGAAAAGCCAGGTAAAACCCTTTCTTGCTCAGTGGGCCCACATCACGGATCTCAGTGTTCAGCTTCATGATCCTGTCACCAATGTCCACTTGAGTGAAGCTTTCATCTGCAGCAATGGTGTCAATCTTGGCAAACTGGCTCTCACGGATATAACGCTCCTTATCATTGTTTGATTCATAGTAGTAAAGGTTAAAAGTCTCTTTGCAAGTTCCCATGACACCTGGCAGGCTGTTGCAGTCTCTCAGTGTGAATTTAATTTCAATATATACCCTCTGAGCCCCCTCACGGGGAATCCAGTCAGTTCGTAACCAGTTGTTCTGACTCGGTTCCATCACATTGCAGACTTGATAGGTGCGGATCGGAGTGTTTTTCTCATCCATAATGCTTACTTCCTCCCACTATGAAGAACCAAAGTGAAAAAATACATAATTGTTAAAGGTACATCAGCTATTCACTACACAATTAATCCTTTCACTTTCCCGTTAGCACACAGCTTTCATTTGTTTTCAGTTACAGAAAAGTCATTAAACCAAATCATGTGTGTTACATCAAGTATCTAAAAAAAAAAAAAAAAAGCAATTTGTTACTGGGAAAAATCAAGTTATATTATTAGCCTAATTTTAATCTCAGAACAAATATTTTAAAACAAACAAAAAGATAGTCACACTGAACTAGCCCAACAATCCCTTATTATAGTAATACAACCAGATCTTGCCTGGTTTTGTTAAGCACTGCAACAAACACATACTTCTAAATAGCTTTTGCACTGGAGAGTGTGCAATCTTAAAAGACAGGAAAAATATTTAATTATTCCGATTTTACTGATGTGAAACTGGGGCAGAGAGAGAAAAAAAGTGAGTTGCCTAAACACAAGTATCTGCCAGAGCTGAAACTGAATCCAGATTTCCAGAGTCCCTATCCAGTGTCTTCACATGGAAGGATTGTTTAGTGTCATTTCGCTAAGCTTTCAAAAACCAGCTACAACCAAATTGCCCCCATTAAATCTTCCCCAATTTGGAGTGGCAATAGTACAAATGGGTATCTATTGCTTTACTGGAGACCTGGGGTGAAATTCTGGCTCCAGTGAAGTCAAGTAAGACTTTTGCTATTGATTTCAAAGAGGGCAGGATTTTGCCCTTGGATTGTTAAAGACGGGAAGGGAGGAATGCAATAAGGATATTATCAGTTAATTAGCTTCACATCACTTTGCTTCCAGAGACCAAAAATTAAAACTCTTATTTACCCCATTTGTCATACCATTCGAGAGTTAGAAACCTCAAGCAGTTAAATAAACCCTAACGTGATAATACAGTAACATGCTTTAAACTTGCATTGATGTAGGGATTTCCCTCTCCTGAAGAGAAGGGAAAATAGGAGGAGTAAAAAAACCAACATAACTATGGCATATGAGCAAATTCAATCCTTGAACTCGCTAACTATATTCGAGTCAGCAACTGGCTCCCGTGTGTGTGAACCAATGTTTCAGCAAAAGTGTGATGAATGTACCATAAAAGAAAGGAAACAGTGAGTAACAGCTTTAAAAAATGTTAGAGATTATGATAATCACATAATGCAGAAAAGAAAGCCACCACAGAGGCCTTCTTTTGTCTCTTTTTCAGAAAAAGAATCATGGTTCTGCTGAATTAGGAAGGAGGGGGGAATCCTTTTTTAAACATTTGTATTAGATAATAGCTACACTTTGGCTCGGATTCCAAGCTGTACAATGGCGCACATGACAATTATGCTTGGAAAAATTGTTATAATACAACTTTCCAGGGTCGTCCTAAAAATGTTTTTGAAAAGTATTGAAGGCACTGCTTTGATAAACAATGATATACAGTTTATACTTCTTTTTTTAAAATACTTAACACTGTGGGCCTTAGTATATAATAGCCTGCATTCTTTGTATAAGATTTGCTCTTTTGCAAGTGTTCTTTAAAAGCATCCAGCACAGCTAAATCTGGTTATGGATCTTTCGTAGTTAGTACCAGGAGTTAAAAGTAGTAAACAGGGTAATATTTTAGTTTCTGCCTAGAGATACTTGGGAAATAAAAAGGAGGGAGGTAGGTGGAAAAATCAATACACAGCATGTCACTCCATGTTGCAGAAAAGGGAAAAACTGGAAAGTCATCTATCAATGTAAACTGTAACATGGAGTTAGTAACCAGATAAAGTTATTTAATTCACAGCTGCCGTGAAACTAGTTTTGTGTTACATGCTATCCTTATGATCCATCACTTTCCATTCTCTTTATCTTGCCATGGTTTGCACTCCATAGTGTGTGAGCGGTTGGGGGGGAGGGAACGGAGGGAAGAAAAAGGGAAATAAAGAGTTGTCAAAGGGATTTCCTTCAGCATATTCACAATAGACGATGTAGTTATAGGATTTGATCTGAAGCCCACTGAAGTCAATGGAAAGACGACAACTAAATTCAGTAGGTGTTGGATCAGGACTTCAATGCAAAATACACAACCTTTAAAAAACCCATCTCTTATTTAATTTAAAAAAAATTAATCTGTCAGCAACTGAAGACAATTAAGACTCCTACATTTCCAAGTACTGGCAATTATATGCAACTCTAAATGTCTGGGCAAAGAAATACATTTTTGCTTTCCAGCTAAACTGAACTTTTATAATCCAACTCTTCCAGCGGCTTAATGATGCACACGAAAAGCATTCCAGGCACAGAATCTCTCTTAACTGTGAAATTTAAGAGTAATTTGTTAATTAAATTTATAATGCAATCCTGTAATTCCTCCAGGGTTACTATTTATTTTTGATAATGGTTAAATGGTTTGTTCTATTCAATGGTCAATGCCCTATTTTTACTTCCAGCACCTCATATTAACACATAAAATGCTCAGCATCTAAAGAGCTGACTGTTGTACATCTATAACATGGGGATTTTTTTAGAACATACAATAAGCTTCACCTGGTTTAAAAAAAAATGGCCTGGAAGGACTGTACTTCAGGGGTTGTTTTCAAAAAGGAATAAAAGAAAGAAGAGGGTTCTTTTCAATTGCTTAGAAATAGCCTGCAAATTTATCAGCTACTAAGAACTGCTTTCCAAGCACTCTATCACACAAACATGTACTCTTAAATTTTTCACTACCAGCTTAAAAATAGAATGCACGTAAATCAGTTTAGTGAAACCAGTCATGTCCACAATAAAACAGTACTCATTTCCTTCTCAAACTTGAGGAGCCATCAAAGAGGATGAAGAGGGAGGGGAAAAATCAGGTAAGTATTAAAAACATACAGAGCTTCTTTGGTCATCAATTCTGCAACTGACTTATTAAAAGACTCCAATATATTTTAATCTACACTGCAGATACCCCTTGGTGAAGCATAAAAAAGGCTCTGTCTGAATCATTGACCTTTGCAGGGTATAGAATTAACAAGGAAGCCTGACTCTCACTGAGATAAAGCTGTACCTTTCCCCACTGTCAAAAGATGAGGGCAATTGCCTGCAATCAGCAGTGAATGTGTGCTGTCTACACCGCCAGAGGCCTGCCAATCACTCCCCCTCTCTTTAAAAAATGGTCTCAGGGACTGTGCAGCGTTCTACAGTCAAGTTCAGGCAGAACAACAATGGGGGGCAAAACAATCCTCCATTTTCCCATGTTATGGTTAATTCAAAGCTTATGCATAATGCATCAGTAAAATAATAGCCTCACATTCCTTCCATTTGCTACTGTTTCCTTTCCTTCTTATGGGGGGGGGGGGGGGGAGAAAGAGAGGGAGAGAGGAAATGTTAATCTACAGTATGTTTCATTAAGGCACTAGAAGAATCCACTTATACAACTACTTAACTTTGAGCCCTTTTATTTTCAATCACTTTGACCTAGCAATAGAATGCTTGTATTTAAGAAAGCTTGTTTAATTTAGCTGTTTAATTTTAAAAGAATTGGAGTGTATTTTAAATTTGATGGGGTGTACTTTGCTAACATTTTTAATTGTTCAATTTTACAATTTCCTGTAGAGAGAAAGGTTCTGATTGAAAAAAGTGTAATACAGTCTCAAATGGTCCAGTCCTTCAAGATGCAAAGTATCCTCAGTGCTTATTTAGTCCTATATAGTCATGGATTGGGATTTCTAAGGGGTCTCCGCAGCTTCTCAGAAGAGGTGCTCTGCAACACGCCCCACAAGGCTCGTTGAAGGTAGCAGCCAGCTTGTGTCAACAAATATTTAGCTAAATTAGTAGTGAAGGTTTTGCATGCAAGGGACTAAACTGAAATCTCCCTAACTCCAATCCCAAATGCAGGAGCCTTCCTTTCACAAGGTGCAGCAATCCTCTTGGTTATTACTCTATTTTTAGGGTCCTCCACAGAAATTCATATGATTTCCCCAGTGAACAACAACAACAAAAAAATCCTTAAAAACAAAAAACAAAACCCCAAGATTGGGGTTTATCTGTGCCGGGATCAAAATATAAAATGTTTTCACTTTAAAATAAATCTATTGAACTACTGTCCCTTCACACCATAAGAAAGGTCTGTCTTGTATCTAGTCCGTTGATTCCCTCTCCCCCACATCACACACTCAATTTAGAAATAGAACAGAGACTGTCCATGGATATACCAATTACAAGGGTGGATTCGTTTGGCTGCCAGATCACATTTCTTGTTGGTATTTCAGTTTTAAATAGGCATCTAAGTCCATACTTTGACCCATCTCTGAATTCTGAAACCCTTCCTCTGCCCCTTTTGGTTTCTTAATCTATGTGAAAAGAGTATAGGATTTCTCCAACAAAGTGTAATTCACTTCATGGGCAACAGAAGAAATCTGACCTCCCAACCACAATCAACAATAATCAAGTCATTAGGACTCTCCAGAAATTTACTAATCACTCCATTTTATCCTTTTGATCATATAGCAACTCAAAACTTACCCCTCCTTCCAAAGGACTTGCTATCCATCCAAGTTCCCCCTGAACTGATCTAGAATCCAATAGGGTAACTGCAGGAAGACAGAACAAAAGAGATTAATTTCTAGTTGTGAAAGGTCAATATAACAGACAGTATTTACCTGAGCATTTCCATACATGCAGAGTATGACCATCTCCAACTTCCATCTCAACCAAGCTTTTTCATTTATGTGAATATCTACATTGACTAGATCTTCTCTCACTTTAAACCTGGAGTATGTTTAACTTACTTAACTGTTAAAATTTGTTCCTAGAATAATGATCTAATGTTAGTATTCAAACCTGTTTTTGTTTGATAGAAGATATACAAGAAATGAGGAGCTCCCAAATATTTGTGTAAACCTTGTTATTTTACATTAGGCTATGCAGAAAGAATGGAAAGATACTGTTTACTACAATATAGGATGAATACAGAATTTCTGATTCTTGAATATGGCTAAGCTACAAGTGACCTTGTATGTGATTCCCTACAAAACAAAATAACACCCTATTGTTTGTTATTCCAGTTTGATATTGACATCACTTATACACAGCTGAATACTTTTTAGAAGGCGGGTGTACTACATTGCTTAGACATTCAGCACATGTGACATCAGACATGTCAGATAACACTGTTCTTGCATTTTGGATAGTCTTCTGCATTTGCAGGAAAATGTGTTTGCCCTTTAAAAAATGTTTGGAGTTCACCATTTGTATTTATAGATAGAGGAACACACACACTTTTCAGTTATAAGAGAGAATAGTGCATCAGGTGATTTTAAGAGATTCCCAATCTTTTGATTCCTTGCACTATCCCAAACTCCCAAAGGTAGCATGATTTTGGGTATGTGCAAAGAATGCAAGATCATTCACCAAATATGGAGTTACCTTCAGCCACCAAAACAGACCAGGTGACATTCCAGCTACTTGGTCTTTTTAAAAAAAAAAAAAAACACAGTGATCCTGCAAAGCCACAGATTTTAAAGGCACTGTAAAATTAAGACTCCAATTGTGACAATTTGAGTGGCAAACCCCATTGAAAAGAAGGGCTCAATTATTAATCTGTCTGTTTATAGCTGTCAAGGACCAATGGTGGCATCTTTAAACATTTTTAACTGGCTTTAATTAAAAATCATCCTCTCCTACCCTTCCATCTTTCCTTCCTGACAGATGTTGTAGATTTAAGATGCCAGTTAGCTACATTTTAAAATAGTCCTGTAACTATCTCTTTCTTCTTTTTGCCCCTGGAGAAAAACATGCTACATCCATTTGGATTAATGTAAGGTGGATTAGGGAGACAAAGGGAACAATGCAACCCAATTTACAAAAAAAAAAAAAAGGGAGAAAAATAAGGGGTAGAAAAGGAAACGTGAGACGAATCGAAAGGAGACGCGAAATGAAGGAGTGGGGGGAAAGGAGCCAGAGAACCCACAGCAGCTTTTCATCTGCGACTCCTTCCATTCTTTCAAGTTTAAACGCTGGGATCCGCGTTTAAATCACATACCGAGCCTCTTTTCAAACCTTTAATTTTCAAAAAGGCAGGGGGCGTTCGGGAGAATGCGGGTGGGACAATGCAGTCCCCCGCTAACTATCAGAAGGCTCCGTCCCTCGGTGGCAGCAGAGCTTAAATGTCAGCGGCTGGGAGAGGAATCTCGGGAAGCAGCGCCTCTCTCCAACCAGATGTGCCCAGGTCTATGCGGGGAGCGCACGTGTGGGTCCCTGCGGAAGCCTAACACTCCTGCACAGTCGCCTCCTGCCGGCGCGCCTCCATCCCCAGGGCAGGGAACCCCCGCGTCTCTTCTCGGACCAGCGCTCGCCGCTCCCCCAGCAAGAAACGACCCCAGGTCTCGCAGCGATCCCGCCAGAGCCCGCCGCCCCGGAGCGGGGCTGCGGGAGGAGCAGGGAAACTGCGGCGCATGTGAGTGTCACTCGGTGATTTGCAGTCTCGGCCGCTCCGAGCCGGGGTCCCAGCGAGAGAGAGGAGGGGAGCGGTGCCCGGCATAGGGGGGTGCGCACCGCGCCGGAACCCAGGCCAGGCTCCCCCACGCGCCTATGCAGAGCCCGTCCACACGCCAGGCGCTGCTCCCATGTCAAGTCTGCGGCAGCCCGGG